CTCCCGTTCTTCCTCGTCGGCGCGTCGCGTTCCTGCCGTCTATACCCCGTACGCGGTCCTTGTTCATTCGTTTCTTGGTGTGGGGTTTGATTTTATCCAGCGACCGGTTAATAAGTCCCACTGAACCTCACGACTTCTGTTTCAGCCGCTGCGCGCCCGGCACGCCGTCTAGATCCGCCCCTGGTGCCAGGGGTCGTCGGAGGGGTTCCGCTGGGGTCGGGACCTGGGGAGATGACCAGTATCTCCACCAACCAGTTCGGCTCCGGCGGCAGCAATGGAGGGTCTGCCTCCAGGCCGCACGGCAGGGATATGGTGATTTGGACTGAGGAGATGAACGAGTATCTCATCGATGCGCTCATGCACCAGCAGGACATTGGGAACAGGAGTGCCGAGGGCAGGTTCTTGACTGGCGCCTATGAAAGCGTCATCACCGGGGTCGGCGAGAGGTTCGGGGTGGTGATCGACAGGTCCAACATCAAGAACCGTCTCAAGCATGTCAAGGACATGTTCCATGAGTGCGAGAACCTTTTCGATAAGCAGAGCGGGATTAAATGGAACCCAGCGACCCGGAGGTTCCACGCCGACCCTCAAGTCTGGAGGGAATTCATTGAGGTCTGCGTGCCACCAATCAAATGTATATATGTGTTGCGTTTTGCTGACCTGATGTAATTTTTTTTTGCTGTGATCTTGTAGAGAAAACCAGAAGCCAAGAAATGGATGACGAAGACTATTGACCATTACGATAGGTTATTGGAGTTATTTGGTAAGGATAGGGCACCTCCGGCTTCTGAGAACTCGAAAGGTCCTTCGAAAAAAAAGGCGCGAATAGAACCACCAAAGGATAGACCTCAACGTCAGCAGACGTCATCAAATGGCTTTGAGTTAGCAATCGTCCAAGGTTCAAATCAAGTAATGGATAAAAATGAGGTATCGATCCTTGAAGCTTAATAGTTTTCAACCAAATAGTGCATGTTATTTTGTTATGGTTGCTGATCAAAGCAAGCTTACCATGGTGTTGGTCTCAGTGCCTAACTTTAGGTTATCACTTTCTTAGGCAAACCACAAATGTTTGCTTCATCGGTAGATTTGTGGTCTACCATGTTTCCTTAGCGTTATGACCTGCATGTCTTAAATTCAGATGCCACTATTGTGTGACTTGTGATTCGGTTGCCGTAGTTAATATGGCAAGCCATGATTTGCCAAACAGCAAATGTGCCAAAGTTGGCTAGGACCGAGCAGGAGTTGAATCAGGGTCGTTTGCTCACTGGATGCTTATGGGAATATCAGAACATGGATAAATTGAAGCACAATAAGTTACGCCTTTTAGCTTTATGGTGTGACTTCTCTCATAATCTACATGTTCTTGTGCCATTCTGGTACAGTTGCCTGCTTGTACAACAAGTTGTTAATTTGTCAACCTATTTACCCGGGCAAGGTAGCTATCTGAATCGGCCTGTTTGTGTTTCTATATTTGAATATACTTGGTAATTAGGATTCTCCCATGGCACTTTCTATTTGTGAATGAGTTCGCCCTTTGCTCCTAGAAATGAAATTTCACCAGTATTGTTCGGCAGAGTGATACACTTACATAACCTTAAGGCCATGAATAACAACTTACTTGCTTCCATTGTATTTGTATTAATCTTAATGGAGTGAGTGTTATAGTATGTCTCAACTTTATATGGGGAAAAAGCTATTGTATTAAGAAATCCGAACCACCGTAAATATGTCCTAGTGGTAAATGAAATGGAACTTCCTTTTCTCCAATGTATGAATTTCAAGCATTTTCTTAACGTGATTTCTTGGGAAATGTATATCTTAATATCTCCTGAGTTAAGTAGAATTTGAGCTGTGCATTGATTAGATTCTTGTTTCTTTCAGCTGTCTGGTGCTGTGGTAGCAGAAAATAACATAATTGGGGAACTCGATTTATCAGAATTGTGCAAAAGCGAGAATGGCCTTGTTGCCATACCTGTTCATGGTAATGCATATGGCAAGGGTTTGCCCTATGCTCCTGAAAATTGGCCGTCTCCTGGAGATCAGTGGCAATGGAAAGTGGGGAGCAGAATTGCTGCAGGTGGGCACTGGGTGGACAGGTAAATGCTTTTATCAAGGCCTCAATAGGCCGAATTTTAATAGTCTTGCCCAAGCAAAAAATGCATAAATTTATAGAGGGTTAATTTCTCAATTTAGCTTTAGCATATTGACTTACGTTGTGGATTTAACTTTGTACAGATATCTTGCTCCACCCTCGCGTTTTCGTGATGCTACTGGTAAAAAGACGACATTCACAAGTAGACTAAAAGTTGGAGAGTTTATCAAGAGCAATTTTCCAGATGTTGATCCTAGCACATTTTTCTCTATGTTCATATGGAAGATCCCTGCTGCAGAAGGCGGGATTCAAAGAGGTTAGACTTTAAAACCACTGTAGCGTGTAGCATCTAATGAGTAATGGGTGCTTCTGTAAATCAATACATATGATTTTTACCACTCCAGAGCAATTTCTTCCATGCTGTTCCTTTTTTTTAATGTTTGGCCACCTGTGTGACTTACTTTTGGAAGAAATTTAACTTGGTAGCACTAGTTACTATACATACCTGGGGTGCGAGGTTCTTTATTCTCTTTACTTGTATCTACTAAATAACTTCCTTGAATGTACACACTATTCACCTCGGTTCTTGTATGTCAGTATTAGCTTTTATTTTATATCTTTATGTTTTCGGTGGTTTGTTTCATAAGTGAAGTCCGTTGTTTTCCTGCAACTGTATACGGCTCTGTTACAACTAGCTTGTTGCAGCAGCTCCATCCTATGCATGTCCAGCCCATACTTCTATGCTTCATTGAATCTTCACCATTAACTTTGTTATTAACCACTTAGTGGACCTCTTACTAACAAGATAATCCATTGACACGACATTTGACTGTATATAAAGGATAACAACATGATTCGGCAACATTACCTATGGAATTACATGGGAAAGAATGAAGATAATGAGTATGAGGGTCACACAGACGTGTTGTTACGCATTCCACATCTGCAGTCGCTATTATGAATTGAATCTTCTTGTACAATTATCTCTATTGTGCAGCCTATTAGCTGTACCCATATAAATTTGACAACGGTCCTTTTTTTAGGTCTATGGCTAACCAGGGAATTTCTTTAAGTTCAGTTAATTTTCAATAGATGCACATGTTTGATTTTATTATGTATGTGCATGTATCAGGATTAATTTTTATCCCATATTGTTTTTACATGTCTTGTTGGGCCCAGAAAATTACGAGGTGGCTGAGCTGGGCTTAAGTGGTTGCTGAGCTGTGTATATTTCAGCAATCTTTCCTCAGTGTGCACTTGACCTGGACCTGGGCTAGAGTCCTCATAGCCCTCTCCTTAGGCCCACCCTTGCTTGCCAACATGTCCACCCTGAGCGGTGGAGCCATTTGTCTGTATAACCTATCTCTTCCTCAAATCCTAAACCCTAGCCACCACTCTAATTCTTACATCTCCTTCCAGCCTACCACTTGTACTGATGGCTCCCTTCTCCTTCAACTTTGTGCGGCACCACCAATTGAAGCGGTGGCGCTTTCCGTCCCTCCCTCCCCTTGCGCAGAGCTCTGCTCGCGCCCTTGTCTTACCTATCACTCTCAACCCAAGTGACGGTGAGCTTTGTTCTCTTCATTCAAGCGGTGCTTTTCCCCCAATCCTAACTCAGATAAAAGGAAGCAAATCATTTCTCCTCATCCAGGACTGTCATTTAAACATAGCATCTGGATTAATCTTCTGCTTTACTTTTCTTTTTTAGTTTTCTTCATATGTAACCTGGAGAATGCGCGAGGATTTGTCTAGTAACGTAGTGGCATGACATAAGGGGGAAAACAGTTTCTTCATTTGATAGGCTGATTCGTCTGTCTTGATGCTAAAAAAAAAAAGAAGCATCATTGCATTTGCATATTTGCTGTTATGTCAATGTAGATTGTTCATTTTGTGCAGTTCTGTAACACCTTAATATGTGCAGGAGCTCTTCAAGTGGAACGCGTTGAACCTGAAGATGGCCTGGCGGATCCTGATGGACCATGCAAGGCTCGGAATAAGGCGTGCAATCTTGGGAAAGAAGGGTTTATTGAATCATCACCAGCAGGGAATTGTGACATCTGCTGCGTACATCCTGATTTCTGTCGTACATGCTGTTGCATTCTCTGTGGCAAGGCTGTTAACAATTCCTTTGAAGGTTATAGTTACATCAAGTGTGAGGCAGTTGTGGCAGAGAACTACATCTGTGGGCATCTTGCCCACCTTGACTGTGCTCTGAGGATTTTCATGGCTGGAACTGTTGGAGGAAGCATTGGGTTGGATGTGCAATATTACTGCAGGCGGTGTGACAACAAAACTAACCTGATGATGCATGTGGAGAAACTGCTGGAAACATGTCGCTCTCTTGGATCGAAGAGTGAGATTGAGCCAATCCTTAATATGGGCTTGTGCATCTTGCGTGGTTCAAGACAATTGCAAGCGAAAAGTTTGGAGGACTATATGGCATCAGTGATGGAAAAGGTGAGTGATGTATTTTATTAGATCTCAGTAGGATAGTTAGGTACCATGGTTTGGTTAGTACTAGCACTCCTCTGATTGGTGCTAATACTGCGCATGGGTGTACAACTTTGTTTTCAGTAGTCCAAGACTATGGTTTGATAGTGTATTGTTTAATGCAGGTGAATAATGGGGTTGATCTTGCTGAAGTATGGAATATGGAGGATGGTGATGGCATGCCAATACTGAATGCAGGTAAACTTTATTGTTTAGTGCAATTAAGAGAACTTTGAGGGCGAAATGTTTTTGTGGGATTTCAGATAATCATAAAAGGTCCCAACCTAGTTGTAATGGTTAGGACATCTGGTGTTCAATGTAATTCCAATAAACCAAAACTCTGTAGATTATGCAGAAATTGTAGGATCATGATATTCAAACCCATCTGAGGTTTTGCCTACACGCACCATATTTTACTATGGACAAGTAATGCTTTGGTAGCTTATGTAAGTTGTAACTTGCCGATTTTAGTATTTTCTGTCATACCTGTTCTTTCTTCTTTGATGTAGAAATGATTTAACCTCTATGTTTATTGTAATCTTCAACAACCTCAATTATGACATGTGTCAGAACGTTGTAGAACTCAAAGAACAGTTTGTATCTCTGGTGTTCTGCAGTTGTTGCTTCACATATTGCTTGTCCATAACTGGGTTCTTTTCTTATGGCTCATGCAGAAGAAAGTTCCCCACCTATTGCTGGTGTCACAGTGCTAGGGGCTGAGCCACAGTACCCATATCTGACTGATCCAATGGTTGATAATGAGCTGCATAAGGCTGCCGAAAGTGTTCCAATTTTCATTACTGGTGATCACACTGAGATGTCTCTCAAATTTGAGGATGAGATAGATAATTCCCTTCTAGAACTGAAGAGATCTCAGGAAGCAGAATACAGGCTGGCAGAGCAGAAGCTTTATTCTCAGAAAGATTATATCCTCAGTCTGTATCGGCAGCTTGAGTCAGACAGGTCCCAGCTTGCAGATCCTAACCCCGTATCCGATATCTCAAGCTACAGCGTGCTTCTCTCCAACATTACTAACCGAGTGGAGCATGTGAAGCGCGAGGAGGAGAAGTTCCAGACCATGCTCAAAATCTCCAAGGGATTCCGGAAAGCACCGGCGAACATCAAGGAGCACTTTGGGTTGCCGCCACCTGCGGAGTAGCTCGAAGTTTGACTAGCTTGAACTTAGATACCATAGTTTACCCTGAACTGTACATTGGGTATGTTGTCTCTTGTGCTGTTGTACTGTTGTATACCTGTCTCCGACAAGGTGCTGCTCTCTCCAGGGCGCACTGTCAGGCTGCTGTTCTAGGAAGAGTCCCCCAACATCTGAATTGCCAGTTCCAGACTTTAATCGTACATTCTGTCCAGTGATGATTCTGCTGGTAATTTGTGTTTATTCTGTGATTTTCCGACAAGATAGCACCACCATGTTACAGGTTGCTGCTGTCGCAACTGCGAGATTGGGAAAATTTGGCGACCTGGAAAAGGGGAGGCTATTTTTTCTGCATCATGCAGTTGCAACAGCAGCAACCTGGGAAAGGGAGGCTATAACCAGAAAAACACTGCTGCATTTTGTTGTTTCAGTTGCGAGTTCCCGTGATGTTTATCTTGGAATTGTAGTTATGTAGGATTCATTCATGTAGCTGCTGTGATACGAGATTTTGATGCATCTCCTAATAGTATTAGTATATGTTTGGGGTAACGTTTAGAAGGCCTCACTCCTATGGCATGTAGGAACGGATTTGCTCAAACAAACCACACAATTTGTTTTTGACAGTGTTTATTCCTCAAATGTTAATCATATTGTTTACAAGAACATGAGAAATGAAATCAGTGATTGAATCATCCCATAAAGTGGAAGGTCTAGTGCTAAAAGAGTTTTTCGCTAAGCTATCGGCAGCCTCATTCGCTTCTCTGAAGCAGTGAGTAAAGGAAACATTAGCAAATTCCATTGCAAGCTGCTTACACTCCAAAATGATCACCAGTCAACATAACCCCCACAGCACACATACAATCCGACTCCACAACCAATCTACTGCATCCAATATTTGCTGCCAGAATAAGCCTGTTCCTGATTGCAGTCATCAGGTGTGTTCAATTGCTAGGGCACCGGAGATTTAGCAAGATTTTGTAAAGTTTAGGCAGCCAAAAGTTGCTAGCAAATGGACGCAGATGTTTAGGCCCCATTGGAACAAAGGAATTAACATCAATTTTCTTTAGGATTATAAACATGAGGAAATTTCTTCCCTAGAGGCATTTGGATCATAGGAACGATGCTCATACTAGTCTTTTTATGTTCCCATTTTACACTGTCATCCTTTGCGTAAACCATGTTTTCTATCCAAACCAGGTTTCCTGATTTTCGATCCGCAAAGGCCTCGAGGCGTTGTTTCAGATGAAAATAGCTTCTCCCCTCCCAATTCGGTAATTTATAGTAAGGTATTGGAGTTGTTTCAGGCGTTGTTTCAGATGAAAAAAGTTTCAGAAGATATATCTAATGTAGATGGTGATTGATAGAGCAATTCTTGCTCATAAGTTGCTGTATGAGCATTGTGCCTAACATAAAGCTTGTGGTTGGTAGTAAAACATATTTTATTATTATTTTGAGATAGAGTTTGATCCTCAACTATTTCTCAAGATGTATTCTTTTTAGATAATGGCTATTGCCCGGCCTTAGATTGAGGCCTTCAGATTCAAGATTCGAGAAATACTCCATCCTCATCAAAATATAAGACGGAAAAAAAAATCTTATTAGGGCACCTATTCAAGATTCGATCCTCAACTATTGCTCGCGATATCTTCTTACAAAGTTTTGTTAGGGCATCTATGACTGATGTTGAAGAATCAGCGGATGAGTTGTGGTTAGGGGTGAAATGCCACTCGAGCCGGGAGCTAGTTGGTTCTCCCCGAAATGCGTTGAGGCGCAGCAAAAACCTCTGAAATTCCAATGGGATTTTGGAAGAAAACTGTAGTTCTTGGTCACATACCACTGTATATCTTGTGGTTTTCTGTTCCAGTGTTTTTTTAATTCCTATATTCCAAACATGACCAAAGCGTGTCTGAGCGATGCCAGTAAAATTCCCCTGAAATTTTACCAGATTGTATGTTCCAAACATTATGCATTCATACTAGAGGTACTGTGATCAGCCACAGATCAGGGAGCAATCCGATGAAATAGCAGACAGCAGACATCACTACAACCATAAGAAGACGGGATATCCCTACAAATCTCACAGGAAATGAGATGAACCAACCTAAAGCTAAAATCACCCTGGCTGCAGATCAAGTCGGCTTCGCCTGGATCCCGCCGCCGTAGAACCGCTTCTTGGCCAACTTCTGCCGCGCCCGTTTCGCCATAGTCGAGCACCTGGACGCCAGCAGCTCCACCGTGGCCGGCAGCAGCCGTGTGCCCTCGAACAGCACGCTCCTCTGGTACTCCAGCACCCACGTCTCTGGTTCCAGCAGCACCGCCGCTGCCCTCCGGCCCCGGTAGCTCCAGGAGCTCCCGTTGCTCGCCCTCACCGTCGGCAATACGCTCCCGTCAGACCACTGCAAACAGATACCGGACGGACATGGATTTCAGTTATCTGATGCTGGTGGTTCGGGTGATGAAGTAATCTTGGCATTGATAGTGGACATTCTGAATGTCGATTACCTCCGTGACCTTGCCGGAGAGGATGGTGATGTGCCGTGTGGAGAGCGTAGACGGGAGCAGGCCGGAGGTCCGGAGAGGGCTCCCCCAGACGCTGACCTCCTCTGCCGCCGACTTGTATAGCGAGCAGCGCCAATGGAACAAATGCTGATCATTCTGAAAGAAAAGAATTCGTCAGTGAAGAACCGTCTCTGCAGCCAAGAGCAAATTAGTTGACTGACACGCAAGAACGGCGAACCTGCTGGAGTCGCCAGACGGAATCCTTGGAGCTGCAGTTGGAGATCCCGTCGGCGCCGACGAGCTGCCCGACCCCTCGCTCCAAGGAGCGCAGTTTGTGGCCCAGAGCTGCAGGCGCAAGGCGCGCCTCCTGGCCCATCCGCGCGACGGCGTCCGAAGACAGCTTGGGGCCGAACCCCCTGGCGGCGACCTCCGGGACGAGGCCCGTGTCCACCCACAGCAGGAGCAAGAACCCAAGAACCGTCAGCGCGTAGAGCGCCCAGTCGGGCGACGAGGACCTCCGGGCCTTGGCGGCCGCCGCCGCATCCCGCCTCGACTTGGCGGTGGAGCGCAGCGGCGGCGTCCACGGCTCGGTGACCGCGGACCCGGGCGTAGCGAGGAAGAGCGAGCGCGTCCCGGGCCTGCGGTCCCTGGCGGCGGCGGCGAAGCAGCGGCGCGCGGAGGCGGCCTCGGGCGGGAGGAGGTCCCGCGTGGCGTTGATGCTGGCGAGGCAGATCTCGCAGGCGCAGTTGGCGTCCTTGCGGCAGCCGGGGTAGTAGCCCCTGCCGCCGCCCTCGGCCCCGCGCGCCCAGGGGACGAGGTAGGCGGGCGGGGGCGTCCGCGCGGCGGGGTCGGAGTTGGAGGAGCAGGAGGAGGCGGTGGAGCCGGGCGTGACGGTGGTGGGGGTGGCGCTGGGGGAGGCGGATCTCCTCGCCATCGGGGTCGCCGCCCTCCAGGTCTCGTCCATGGATCGGGGTTGGGGGTGGGGCTGGGGTTGGTTTGGGGGGTGGGTTGGGGTTATGAGGGGAGGCGGCGGCGGCGGATTGGGGGCGGAGAGGGAGAGCGAAGGGTTCGAAATTTGAAGTGGATGGAGGGGAAGTGCCCGACGCCAACGGCTTCCGCGAGTAACGGTCGACCCGAGTTTCCTTATGTTCGATGTCGTGGCGCTGACAGGTGGGCCCTGTTGCCCCTTTTATTTTTTCTGGGTTGCGAACACGGGAGAGGAGATGCATCAAGAGGGTGCAGGATGCGGAGGCGTGTGCAATAATGCTATAGCTAGCACCACCTCAGTTTATTTCTTCCGTAAGAAAAAGTCCAGTTTGTTTCTGTTGCAGTTAAGTTTTTTGAAGTAGTCTCTTGGCATTATATCATGGCGAAGTATCGAGTGAAAACTGATTTTCAGTGAAAATCTGGAAACTTGCCGTGTGAGCCATCAGATCTACAAAGAACGGCATAGACCAAAGGTGGGAATTCTAACTGGCCACTTAAACGTCAATTAGCAGAAACCCCCTCTTATCTCAATGATTAGCAGATTACTTGGCCGTATCCAACCTAACTCGCCCCGTACCATGGCGCTGTTGCCGCGGTGAATGCCACGGACACGGAGGTAGGCGGGCATAGCTGACGGGGCTCCCAACTGCGGCGACGCAGCCGTGCACCGTGCCGAAGCTCCCCTCGGCGGGAGCGCAGTCCCGAGAAGCCGAGTCAAGGGACGCGCTGGCGAGGGTGCCCGTGGCGTCGGCCCAGGGAGCCTCCCTCACCGACGACGTGGACCTTGCGGCAAGGGATTGGGACTGCGTAGGAGGCGAAGAGCTCGCCGGCGCAGCCCCGGAGGTGAAGTAGAGCGACACAGCCACGCATCGCTAACAGCACCTCTGAGCTCCATGCGACGCCGTAACGGTGGAAGCACAGCGGCGTCCGGATGTGGCAACCTCGAAGGGCAACTCGGCAGCCGCGGGTTGCCCCCACGCTACGTCGTTCTCTGAAGAATTGTACACTGATTTTGCAGTTCTCTGAAGAATTGTCCAGCACAAACTCTGTTCTCTGAAGTACTTTACCTGGATATGTTGAAGCTTGTGCACGGAAAATTGCTGTTCGGTTGGTGCTGGAGCACACCAGCAAAAAGAAAAAGTTAGTGCTGGAGCTGTGCAATTAAAAAATAGGTACTGGAGTTGTGCAACTTCCTTGTAGTTTTTGAATGTGATTGTTTGCTGGTCATCGACAAACTAAAAATACTTGAAGCTTCTCTCTGCAAATGGTGCCATGAGAGCTCAGGGAGACCAATGTGATGTGTGGCCGTTTTCCTAACTACATGTTCCAGTTCACGGGTAGTGGAAGTAACACTGTGGCTCGTGAGGTCTTAGTAATGTAGGAGTACTAATCATAGATCCGTTGATTACATCAGAAATTCGAAGAGTTGTATGTGAATATATTAGAATAGGAGATGAGGGGAAAGCCACCACACAGAATTGCAACGATCAAAGCAAACAAAAACGAAGATACAGATTACAGAGTTGGACTTTTTTTTTTTGACGGAGCTACGGCGGACTTACGTCGGCCTGAACCATTTCATTATAAGATAGAGTACATTTCCAAAGGTTAAGAGTTGGGGGCGAGGGTGAGATTACACTCGGCCAATGAAAATTTAATTACAAGACTTGGGTCATCACACAATAGAAAGCAGAACTGAAATAAAAGGTCAGTTTAAATTTTGCTTCTTGAAACAGAGCACTTGATCTTCAGGTAATCTTCATTTTGGGGTTTCCATCTGCTGCCTTTCTTCATAGATGGTCTCTTGTTATTGTTGCTCCAATACTCTGTGATTTCTTTATAGTGGATTTTTGGGGAACTTAAATTTTTCTTTAGGCTGCACGCTGCAACATTCATTCAGCTAAGGAACTGAATATGAACAGCTAACCAAAAGCTAGCCCAACCCAATTGGCTGCACTAGAATTTGGACGACAGCAAATACAGACCAACAGCTTCGAAGGGCAAGCAGCGCCAAGGTCGGCGGGCTGCCATCGCACTGGGGTGGGACGGGCAGGACGGGCAGCGCCAAGGCCGTCAGACTCGTCGTCGCGTCGGAGCAGCCCCGAGGGCGCCGGGTGGTCGTTGCCTGAGGTAGCGCTGAGGCCGCCGAATCACCATTGCGTGGTGCAGCACCCGCCATCGCGCGGGGGCTCGCCTGGTCGCCGTCGTCGCATTGGTCAGATGAGGCGGCGGCAAGATTTGAGTTAGAACTTGGAAGGATAGGAACGGGTAGAATAAGACAGGGAGTTACCTAATTACTGAAAGAGGGGGTTCTGTGAAAAATGGAGTTAAGTGGCTGGTTAGTGCTCCCACCTTTGATCTCTGCCGCTCGCTATTGATCCAAGGTCCCACGATGGAAGTTTCCAAATTTGCACCGAATTTCAGTTTTCACTTGATACTTCGCCTTATATCATTGGATTGGAAAAGTTAATCGGCAAACTTCTAAATATTGGGACAGATCCGAACGACTCGATCGCGTGCTTGCTTTATTGGGACACAAGACATGGTGGAGGGCGTGCTGATGGCGTCCGTGGCGGTGGGCGTGTTGGTCGTAGACATAGTGGAGGTCCACAGAACGTATTTTTTTCGGCACTTTATAACCAAACATGGATGGCTTTGTCAGAGTCCGGACACTGAGACAAATCGGACTCTTACACTAGTGACGGTGCCAGAAATGTTGTCTTGTGTAGTCAATTTAAAATCATGTAGTCAAATATATGAATTTATACAAATTTGTTTCACTATTCCTACACCTATATGCTAGTTTTATCAAAAAGTTAGGGAGTCAATTGACTACCCTGGCTTCGCCACTGTCTTACACCTATGATCCACCCAAAAGGAAGGCGGTGTCCGCCCTTTTGTAGCATCCCGAGTTGTTTCTGTGACAAAATTCCCCACTCTCTTCTTCCATCCCGCTCTCCATCCAACTTCCGTTCTTTTCTCCGACTTTCTTCTTCGCTACCGCCGCCGCCGCATGGAACCGGACCAGGACCTGGCGGAGATGGATGTGGTGGAGGTGCAGGAGGATCTGAGCATCACCCTCACTCGGAAGATCAACTCGGCGACGCGGTAAAATTGCTGCGTCAAAGCGAAGGCCGCGAAGGAGGCAATGCTCGCGAAGCGGAAGACCGGTGGAGGGCGTGCTGATGGCGTCCGTGGCGGTGGACGTGCTGGTCGTAGACACGGTGGAGGTCGCGGCCAGGGTCATGGAGCTCAGCTGGTGTCGCACACCGTCCAGATGCCGCCATGGACGGGGCATTACAAGGCAGCGTACTACTATGTTGCCAAGCAGCTTGGTAGGCAGTCCACGACAATTGTCGCCGGGCAAGTGACTTAAATCATTGACATCAACATGGGGCCGCTGCTCTTATGCGAGTCTTCTTTGCCACAACTCATTCGGGTGTGGACGACGGACGGTGGACACATGGGTGAGGCTCGTAGATACAATTTAGAGTATCTACAACCGGACCTCTCAAACCCGCCTCATATGCCCGGGCGGGCCGCCCGGTCACTGTCCGATCATAATGTTTTGACCCAGACGGGCTCCTTAAACGAGCCTCAAATGCCCAGGCTGACCGGCAACCACCATATCCAGCCCAAATATGGGGAAGATATAGTGGCGTCCGGGTGCACCCGGGGGCACGCCCTTCATGTTGGACCCGACAGCCCGACCCCTATCCAAATTGCACCAAATCCACCATACCCTTCCTCCTCCTCCCGCCGCCCTTCAACCTTTCCCACGCCCGGACCCTCACCATCCTCCACCCTTGCTCTCAACCCTCACCTCCTGTCCCTATCCACCGCCAGAGATGTCGTCCAGCCCGACCCACACCGTCGCGACGGAGACGCAGTCCGCCTCGTCCGTCGGCAACGTCAATTCATCGGCTACGACTTGCAAGGCGGAGAACATCGCCCGCAAGTTGCGGCAATGCCGGCAGCGAGAGAGGGAAGCAGCGGCGACGTCACATGGAGGTTCAGACGTGGTGGAGCAGTTGTCTCCTTCTCTGTGCCGGATCCCCGCACCCCTTCCCTCCGAGCGCCCGCACGAATTACACCGTCCGACCCGATTGGGACAGAGGATGATCCGACCGCCGGCTGGGCCATTCCGGAGAGATTTGCGACCACGCAGATGCTGGCGGTCGACGTGTGTGACTCGCCGCAGCTCGTTCGGGCGCGAATGAGCACGGGCATCGGTAGTGCCCGGGCTGCCCTCGACATGTTCGACGGAATGACTGAACAAGAGTCGATGTGTTTTCTTTGCTCTTGTCCGATCAGATTTTAGCATAGACCGGCTGCACGCGGAGGAGGCTGCCCGGATGCAGGCAGAGCAAAACGAGCAGGACACATTCCGCCTGGAGAAGGACGCCTTCCGCTCGGAGCAGGCGCCCGGCCAGTGATCCAAGGCCATCCGTTATGCTCGAACATTGATTTCATTTTGCCATCTCTGGTTTGTTGAACAATGATTTGCTTTGATTTCTTTCAAACTTTGGCATTCAGACAGTTTGTACAGTATGATCGACGTGCATGGACTACATGGATTTGAGGATCAGAATTTGCGGTATGTGGATGTGCGACGCAACATTTGAGGGGTGCCCGGTCAGTGCCCACGCGCGTTCGTGGGCGTTTGAGGGGCCGAATTTGCCAAGTCCGGCTGTAGATGCTCTTACATTACAATCTCTTAGTACTTTGTCCTCTCGATACACTCCAACGCAATAAAGCACAATCAGGATGTAGGCTTTTATCTCCTCTTGAGAGCCTGAATCTGAATAAACTTTGTGTCCTTATTATCATGGTCTCAAGATACCGAACTTAGGATACCCTTCCGAGGGATGTGCTCGATTTAGCTTTGACATTTTGGTATTCAGTTTTTCATATCGTTTGAATAAATTCTAAATTAAGTTTCGTTTGCTCATGCGTGTTTTTTGTGACTAGGGATTT